CTGTCATGTCATGAGTAGCACAATGGAGAGGCCCATATAGCAAAAAACTGATGTTTCCAGTCATCAGTCAGCAAGGAGGTGAACCTGTCAAAAACCGTGTGAGTGAGCTTGGAAGCAGATCCCTCCCACCCAGTCAACCACTGAAATGATTGTAACACTGGCTAATAACTTGACTTTGGCCTTGTGAGGGACCCAGTCAGAGGCACCCAGCTAGGCCACAACTAGATTCCTGACCCACAGAAAATATAAGATAACAAATGTTTGTTACTTTAAGCCATTAAATTCGGGGATTATTCGTTATACAGCAATAGATAACTAACACATGTAGGGAAAAGAAAACTACATAAAATTACCTCACATATTTAAAAACTAAATGAATACAAACTTTAAAAACAGAAAATACAATAATCAAAATTGAAATACTCAATATAATAGGTTTAACAGCAAATTTAACATAGTTGAAAAGAGAATTAGCAAACCAGAAGGCAGACCAAAAGCAATTACCAGAATACAGCCCAGAAAGACACAATTTTTAATTACATATACATGAAAGACATTAAAAGAAATGGAAGATAAAGAAGTAGATTCAAAATACATTTAATCATAAGTCCAATAGCAGAGGAGCAAAAGACTGGCAGAGAAAATATCTGAAGAGATAATAACAAAGAATATTCCAGATCTGATGAGAAAGATACCAACCGACATATTTGAGAAGTCCAGTAAATCTCATATAGGATAAATAAAAGGAAATCCACCCCTAGTTACATCAAAGATGGAATTCAGAAATCAAGAGCCCACCCCACCCCCCAAAAAATGCAGATTATTTACACAGAAAAACAATTAGACTTACAGCCATTTTCCCAACAACAGTAATGGAAGCCAAAAGGCAAGGGGTAAAGTGTTGATACAAAGAAACTGCTACATAATGAAAAAGAAAACACTTTCAAGAATGGCAGCAAAATAAGGACATTTTCAGAGAAACAAACCAAAAAATAAGAATAAATTCTAAAGGACTTACTTCAAGCAAAAACGCAAGTGATCCCAGACAGAGAGCTAGTGTATTTGGGGGTTAAAATATACAGATAATTAAAAACTGTAAACAGGGAAGGGCTAGAAGGGGTTAAAGAGTTAAAAGATCCTCATGGAGGAAAGTTAAAATTATAGATTAACTGTAGACATTCAAGGCTGAGTACTGGCTTATTTTCCTAACTTGGTTGTGGTGACATTGCTTTGATAAATTTGGTAGATCAATAAACTGCTTTAATTATTCAAAAAGTGAAGACCAACAGAGGATTGGCATTGGCCACATCCCAAGTGCGACCCCAGACTAAAGGTGAAAAGAGGGGGGAAAAAGTTGGGGAATGTCAGGAAGAATGTATTTTTCCCACTTTTTGATGTGTCTTCCAAGTGTCAGGGATGCCACCAGCTTAGCATTCCTAACCTCCTTCTGCCTTTTTACTCAAGTCTTCCCTGGAAAGAAGGAGTAATTTAATCTGCACTGGTCTTTCCAGAAGGAGAAAGTAGACATGCACAACTCAGTCCTTCCTTCCTACTGTCTCACCGGGGCATGATTCTACAACTCCACCATTTTCAAATTTCATAGAGGTAGATTCTCCCTCTGAGGACGAGGGCTGCCTGCACAGGCCCAGCACCTCCTATTACTGGGTGGTAAGTCTGTATGATTACGGTGTACAGCGTTAGCAGCCTACTTGCCGACAGACACAGAGTACATATTCCAATATTAACTTTATCAGTAATGAGGATAACATCTTGTTTTCATACCTGACTTCTTCTTCCATCATATTTCCAAGATGGTTCCAATAACTCAGGTGGTGAAGTTCCTCCAGAACCCCCAATAATAGAAAATGCATAATTCTGGCTATTCAGTCCGGGTATAACAATAAAATAACAATAATAACAATAACATCAAAATAACCACTAAGTGCTACATATATTACATTTTCTTTCTCACACAACTCTGAAAAGCTGTATCATCTCCACAGTTTATTCATTTGAGTTTTTGTAGGATAAAGAAACTCATCCAAAAGGTAGCAAGATGGAAGTCCACCCAACTGGACTCAGGTCCTCACTCTTTCTTTCTCCATAGTAAATCAAACCATTGTCCTTCTATTCCAGGCCTTTTGCCTGCAGTGATGGCCACCTCCCTTCACCAATATACTCTCTCCAAACAAGGGCTAAATTTATATCAATGTTTTTCTATTTAACTTTATATACCTTGGGCAGTAACTTTCATTTGTTCTCACTCAAATTCCTTTACTGGCTTTAAATACTTGATCTGCAGCACATATTCCCAGACTTTTGACATATTTAGAACACCAACCAGGAACTCAAGGTCGGTTTCACCCAGTTACAACTGTCAAAGCAATTATCAGAGCAGTAGTCATATCCTAGAGATTTTTACTAGTCTAGAATAGGAGTCATCAAACTGACTGGCAGGCAAAATCTAGCTTGCTGCCTGTTTATGCAAGTAAAGTTTCACTGGAGCTGAGCTACACATTCATTTATGTACTGTCTACGGCCATGTTCACACTACAATGGCAGTGTTGAATAGTGGCAACAGAGACTATAAAGCCCACAAAGCCAAAAATATTTACTAACTGGCAGAAAAAGCTTATTGACCCCTCGTCTAGACCTGGAGATTGATTCCACATTCTCCGTGTTCCAAGTAGTGAGAATAATTCTTTCTCACACACGATTGTAGGCTGCACCCCTTACCTCTAGGACCTTTCATCAAGTTGATGGCAATGATGGTATCTGGAACCCTACTTCCTCACTTCTATTCAAATGATTTTTCAATTAGATTCCTCTGCCAGCAAGTCCACCAGTATTCATCAATATTGCAAAGGAAGCATTTTTAAGGGATGTATTGAAATGCTTTTAGTTGCTTATACTTAAAAATAAATTTGGAGTCAATGACTGAATACTCTCACACTTTAAAAACTATCCAGGTAACTTAAAAAAAAACCGGACATATTTTGAATGAATTACTAATATGTGGTGTTGGCTGACTGCATGACAAACTGGATAATGGCTAAATCTTCCATTTCACTCAGCATGAGGCTAGTGATACTTGAAACATGGTTTCTAATTTTCAAAAGGCTTTAATGGATAATGATCAAGAGAAGAGAAACTAATGTTTGTTGATTGCCTAACATGTGCTTTTTACTAAACTAGGTATTTTGGAGATATTACCATATTTAATCCTTACAATAGCCTATGAGGTGAGTACAATTACTCTCTTTGTACAGATGAATATATTCAATTTAGAAAGGTAGACAAGTGTGCCCCACATTTCAGAGTCTGGATTCGATACTTCTAAGGAAGGAACAATTCTGCAACTCCCAAAGGGTCTTTGAGTAAAATGAACTCCAGCATTGCAAGGTACTCTAACATTGCAAGGTACATTTTATCTGGCGTGTTATTCTAACAGATAAAACACCAACACCCAACAAAAATGGACTCCTGCTGTGCCAGTCATCACCTCTTTAGTTGTTGGTTTGTAAGGAATTTGCTCCTGGGGAAGCGTCTGGAATAGTAATAAGGGCAATCAGAGAGCTCAAGAAAGCATGTATTTACCAACTGGTATGGAAGCATTTCAATACTGTAACAACTGGTAATACTGCACCAGTGCCAACTTGCTGAAAAATGAATCTGTGGAAATCTTCTGAACTCCAAATCTGCCATCATGCAGAAGCAAACCAAGACTAAACACATAAGTTATGTGACTGAGTAAGCAATGCAGAAGCAATATGCCCGTTTTAGTGCTCAATGATTGGTTATGACTATTCTAATGTTAATTCAGCTGAGGAGCAGATGTTAGTCAGTGCTTTTCAAATTTTTAACCCATTCCCCCTACGACATGTTCACATGCTTCTCTATCACATACAGCATGATGAACCATTTCAGGCTAATAACTGTGATAGCTGAAGTCTCAGTGATCTAATTCTTAGTGTATTTGATTACCACCAACTAAAAGCTTTCCTGCATCATTCAATGAGCATATAATGGACTACTCATCAGCACTGTACAATTCAGCATGTGGCAAGGGTATACAGCACACCATAAAAACCACATATTTTAAGGATTTACTGTGATAATATTGCACAGTGATTTAATATATTTAGTTTTTCTCCTTAACAAATGAGTTAAATGAAAAGTGATTTTTAAAGCACCATATTATTATAATTTAAAATTACATAAAAAATAGAGAAAATATTTTTCTTTTTAATAAGACTCCACGTTATGTAAGCAGACTGTTCTTGGAAAATATTTGGAAATTATGTAGAGCAAAAAGAAAAACCAGAGAAAGTGCTAAAAACGAAATATGTGATTAAAAACACATATTTGAAGAAATATCATGGCACAATTTTAACCACAGTTATAAATTATACGTATTCAATTAACGTTTCAACACTAGATTAAAATAGCCTGTTTCACAAACATAGACTCTGCAAAACAGTCCAAGCATCTCTCATGGTACAATCTTCATTCCTTTTTTGATTTATAATGAAGTGTTTTATTTTCTAGATAACCACAAACTGAAATTAGTAAAGTGGGATTATAATAAAAAGAAGCTAAGAATAATTATATTTTGAGTACAGTAATATCTCCTGTCATTCATCTATATAATATATATGTTTTACTTCCTCTAGGCACTCATATAATTTTGCTTATCTAAATTAAAACATCACATTGACATACACCAATAGTTTTTTTTAAAAAAGATCATAGGCAGTAATTTTGCTTTCCTTGTCATTAATAAAAATGCATCTCATTCCTTCCTCAGTAGGCCCCTTCCAATCTTAAGAGGTAGGAGATACCTCCACTCCTCATTTTGCTACCCAAAGGGAAACAAATTCTCAAAATGTCAAAAGCCTTAGTTACTCTACAGATAACTAACATTTTAATAACAAGAAATTGTACCGGGAGTAACTGAAAAATAAAACTTAGAACTGACATTTAAGTTGGGGGCTACTCACCACTCCTGGCTTACAGTTGTAATAGCAATGCTTGGAAGTGTCATCAAAGGAAGCGTGGTCGGTCTGGAAATGCCATCTCCCTCAGGAGTCCTTGCCCTTCCACTCTGTCTTTGGGACAGTGGTGGCAACTGCAAGCTTCCTGAGCAACACCTTCTCCCTCTCCAGAGGTCGATCCCAAGTGTGTTACTAGAAGAACTGTAGGATTTACTCAAGTTGCATTCAAAATAATCTTTAACATTCTAGAGGAACCACAGGGAAATAAAAAAGAGAAAAAGAAAATGAAATTCAAATGTTTAAAATGATGCACGATGGAGTAAAACAGCTAAATGATCAAGCTGTCACTCATAAAGTCCTGATTCATTATCTCACAATCAGAATCGAACACTGATGTCAAAAGTTTAAGAGAAAATTCGTAGGCACAAGGGGCTAATTCTCAAATTTTAAACACATCAGTTGCATAGTCTTGGTGATCTTCAGGACTGTTGATAATATCTTCCAGTTGGAAGCATGTGGATTGCAGGGCTTTTTATTTTCTTTCTGTTTTTTAAATTACTCTTTTTTTCTTTCCCTTTTTTAACTTGCTAAAATGAAAGCTTTTCATAGAAAATATATTTTGGACATCAGTGTTATCATTCTGCAACACGGGAACAAACTATACTAGCTAAATTATAACATTTCTTGTTCAATGTTTTAAAGTAAATATATTTTCTATCTCAGGCCAGCAAGATACTCATAATTGTGGGTAACTGTGTAACTGACTTTTCCTATTCTTATAAAAGGTCTCCCCAGAGTTGAGGGGATTTGGGGGTGGGTTTTTTTTTTCCTGGTCAAACATACAAGAGCTCAGAAAAAGAAGAATATACTTTATCTGGTCCCGAATTGAACTGCCATGTGTTCAATATATGCCCTAATGCTGACATGAATGAAATACTTGTGAGAAGATAGAGGCATTGTATTATAACCAATAATAAGAGTTATTCATTCTTCCTATATCTCTCGGTGACTCTGGTTCCTGGTACTGTGGGGAGTGGAAGCCCCAAAAGAACCTCTGCCTGCGTCACCATTCATACTGGCTTAAAGACGAGAAATGTTACAGCAATGCAAGTAGTCACTGATAGCAACTTGGAGTTTAAAAGTTGTAACTATCACTCTCCACTCATATCTTAAGCAATAATAGAAGTCCTAACACCAGGCCAAGGTCTCTCACCTGGAAGTCATTCTGTAGCCCTAAAAAGACAGGTACTTCCTACTAGCCCTTCAGAATAGACAGGAGAGCCTGGGACTAGACGGCCTGAGGTTTAAACAAACTAAAGTTCTCCGCCCACCGCTCCTCCACCCATCCCTATACTAGTTCATAAAAGGATAATTAACTCAAGTTTAAGGGTCTAGCTGGGTTCATTCAACAAATATTTTCTGCACACCTATTAAAGTCTTGCTCTGTGCTACTTAAGAAAGGATACAACAGCAAAAAGAGACAGAACCTGTATTCTAGTGATTATGCTTATCTCATCCATGCAAAACCACATTTTCATGATGAAAACCTGGGCATGAATAGACCTGACAATTTTCAGGGGCCCCACTCTCTCCACCTGGAAATGGGATATCATCATATTTTTTGTGCTTGACTTATGGTTTTGGAATACCACTTATTTAAAATTCAGTAGAACCACAATTCAGTAACAGGAAGGAGACAAAACAATTTACAGTTTTCCAGAGTTTGAAATATTCTGGAATGTGGCCAGTGTTTTACTATTTAGTAACTGGTTATATTAAATCTACTGTAAGCCTAGCACTTATGTGTGTGTGTGTGTGTGTGTGTGTGTGTGTGTGTGTGTGCGCGCGCGCATGTGTATGTGTTAGAAATAAGAGGCTGAGGAGAAAGCATAGTATATGTAAGTTTCTTTCTCAAAAGACTTAGAGACTAGTTGAGGAGACAGGAAGTCTTAGGGGAGACAGTCTTCCTAAAGAGATTCAAGAACAAACTAAAAGTCAGAACTTTTATAACTCTGTTTGTTCCAAATATGCATGTAAAGAAAGTACTGATTATCTGGAAAGCACAGCAGTGTTTCCTGTATAGGTGGTAAAGCATGTACTTTACCACCTATACAAGAAACACTGTACCAAAGAACAGAAATGAGGATGTCACTTAGTTAAACCACCAACCACAATAGTCTTATAATAAAGTTATTGGATATTTTTCCTTTTAGAAATGGAAATATTACCAACCAGGTTTACTTGCAGTGAATAAACTAAATGGGTATTTATTTGGTACTTGTTATTTGAAAAGTAACAAAGTCACACCGATCACAAAATATATCCCATACTGACTTGCGAACAAGCTTAAATTTACAGATTTGTAGCCATTCTTTGAAGAATTTGTTTCAAAAGACCTCAGTTAATGTGCAAATGCATTGCCACAAAAGAGCTTAATGGAATAGCTTTTTAGAAATTAAGATAAATACTAAAAACAGTAACGTTGTTATGCAAGCACTCATTAACCTAAGTTGAGTTATTCATAATTACCTCAAACTTTCTAATTCATACTCATAATTACTGCCCCAAATTTGCTAACATCCTCAAAGGCAAAATCTAATCCAGTCAATTCTAAACTACTGAATTGGTGATCTTGGACTTATTTTCCTGTTTTAACCAGCATGATACTGGCCAACTACACCACTCATCAGATCAAAGATTTGGGGGAAAAAAACATTAATTTGAATGTTACTTTTGGAAATCACACTGTTCCCTTTGCCAGAAACTCTTCCCCCAGGTCTTCACAGGGCTCACTCCCTCAATGCTTATATGTCCTCACTGTCCATATTTCCTCTCTTCATGTTATCCTTCTATGAACACCTATTGTCACCGTCCAACCATTTTTTGCCCCCTGACCAACTTCATTTTTCTCCACAGCTCTTAACATAGCTGGGATTATTTTATAATTTATTGATTGATGTATGCCCTCCCCTCTAGAATATAAGCAACAAAGGGACAAGGACTCTAATCCCTAGAACCTAACCAGTGTGGCGTGTATAATAGGTGCTAAATTAATATTAGGTGAATATTTAAATTGCTGAGTAACTGTTTGTTGAGCTGAAATAATGAGAATATAATAAAATATCCTTGACTTAAGGGTGAACCTTTCTTCAAAGTGTGGTATGAAAAAATATGATATCTGCCAACTTGCTTTTGTTGTAAGGGAAGAGATACTGTGTGTAACATTTGATATGATCTTCTGTACTATACTGGAAAGGTTGAGGTGCATGGTGAAAAGTTTTAAGTTGTGACTGTCCACCAAAAATAAAGTACAAGCCACAAATGGGAGCCAAATGTATAATTTTAAATATTCTAGTAGTCACATTAAAAAAGTAAAAAAAAAGGAAACAGGTGAAATTACTTTTAATAGTATTATTTTACTTAGCTTAGTATATCCAAAATATTGTCATTTCAACATGTAATCTATATCAAAAATTATTAATAACATATTTTACATTCTTTTCTATTTGTACTATTATGTAATCAAAATCCAAGATGTATTTCACATTTACAGCACCTCCCCATCCGTACTAGTGCTTAATAGTCACGTGTGGCTAGTGGCTACCATGTCGGACAGTGCAAATCTAGGTAATAATACTAACCCCACCAGTCCAGGTGGGGTTAGTATTCTTCAAATGTGCTTTTCTTTTTTGTGCATTCTTCTATGCAAACTTCCCTGTCTTTTGATTGTGGTAATCATTACCTCAGAGAGGATTAGGATTATTACTGCAATGATAGAATGAAAAGGAAAAAAATCATTGATCATCCTTTATAGACAGGATGCATTGTTTAGTTTTATTCTTCCAAAGAAATAGAATCTGGAGCACACAGTATACAAATAGTATTATGGGACAACCCCAAGCTTTTTTTTTTTTTTTTTTTAAGAAAAACAGTTATTTCCAAATTCCAGAAGTTTCCCCTTAGATATCCTAACCAGAGCATGAAGGTCTGAACACAGCTTTTTACCACTGGTACTGAGGACTTAGAATATGACTTAAGGGCAGTTCCCTGGTGGTCAAGGAGCAGGGAAGGGGGAAAGAAGAAAAGGAAATATGGCACAGGCAATGAGACTAAATCACTAACCAAGTGTCTCAACACAAAAGAGTAGAAACGGCAATGGCAAAGGAGTGTGCTTCGGTGGGCAAGAGCCTGATGGCACAACTAAGTCTCACTCTGCATTTGCGAGTCCTAGAAGTTCTTACAAACCCAGATAGCGACAGAGAAGGAAACTGAGAATTAGCCTCAGCTTGCTCTTCAAGGGGTTTTCTGCAGCATAAGGTAAAGGGACCAAGGGTTCATGGGGTGAGCAGCCCAAAGGTAAGGGCTGCACAGAAAGCAAAGCTGAATCTTTTAAACAATCAGAGCTCCACTGAAAGGTTAGGTGAAGAGCCCAGGCAGCAGGGGAGAAAGTCAAATTTACAGTGAGCTGAGAAGGACCCCTGCTCAGGCTGAGAGCACTCATCACCTGTTATACCTACCATGTGCCTTACTAAGCACACTGGATCGAGGGCAGAGACTGACAACCAAATATCTGGGGAAATGAGCTATTCCTCAATAGGACAACAGTAAGAACCAGTGGAAATACAAGACAAGGACAATACCACACACCTGTGACTATAACGTCAATTAATGTTTTCCTACATGGAAGGGAAGGAGTAAGAACTTGGAGAAATACTCATAAACTGGGCATTTACTCAAAAGATACCAGTTTACATGATTAATTACCAAGTTCAAGTTCCTCCCAGCCCCTCCCCCATCTGTGAAACAGAAGTTTAACAAGATGAGCTATTACAGACAGCAAGGAAAATGACTTCTTTTTCCTTCCTCCCTCCCTTCCTTCCTTCTGCACATCTGATTAGTGGCATATAATTTTTGGCTCAATTACAAATAGAAGCTAAGTAAACGCTGGACAATTAAAAACACACTAATGGGGGACTGGTCAATTGAAAGCAAAAAAGATAATATCAGCTGACCAAGAGGCAAAGCTATTAAAAATGATGAGTCTACAGACTTCTTCAAATGACCCAGAGCAGAGCTTCTCAAATATAATGTACATATGTAGTCAGCCTGGGACTTACATATATTAAAAATGCACTTGGTACATAGTAGGTTCACAAAACTATTTGTAAAATGAGTAAATCAAAGAATATAATTAAATGTTGAAATCCTTAGGTTTCAAGGAAAGCTTTGGGAAGGAAATGCGGTTTCTTTTTAGCCTTAAATAATAAGTAGAATTTGTTTAGTGAAAATGGAAATTTACATATGTACATAATGTACATATGTAATCACCTTGGGAATAAATTCTGAACTTTAGGTCTGAGGGATGGTTCTGAAATTCTGCATTTCTAATAAATACACAGGTGACGCTAGTGCTGCTGGTCTGAGGCCCACACTTGAGCCAAGTCCTAGAGGATGGGTTTCAAACAGCTGTCAAAGACCCCACCATAGGAGATGACTCAAGGATCACCTGAACTTGGATAAAAGTGTGCAAGAAAGTCATCAAGAAATGCAAACAGGGGCTTCCCTGGTGGCGCAGTGGTTGAGAGTCCGCCTGCCGATGCAGGGGACACGGGTTCGTGCCCCGGTCCGGGAGGATCCCACATGCCGCGGAGCAGCTGGGCCCGTGACCCATGGCCACTGAGCCTGAGCGTCCGGAGCCTGTGCTCCGCAACGGGAGAGGCCACAACAGTGAGATGCCTGCGTAGTGGAAAAAAAAAAAAAAGAAAGAAAGAAATGCAAACAGGGTGAAAAGCAAAATTTCCACAGATTGGTGGTTTTGTAAATGAAAATCACAAAGCTCAAACTGAGCCCATTTCCAAGCTGCAGAGAGGGCAGTGTGCCTGCTGCCTAGCATGAAGAGTGCTGGGTCCAAGGGCTGGCAATGTCCAGGTCACAGAAGCACCTAGAGGCAGAGTGGTACTATTAGACAACCTTGCCTGCCCTTGGAACAGAATTATGGAGTGACTTCTTTATTGAGCAAAGAGTGGGTGGAATCGGCAACTCTGACTTTTGGAACTTACATCATCGGCCGTCACCGTCATCACACTCCTGCTTTTCTTCATTATAAAGGGGAACAGCAGCCCCTTTTAGGGTGTCTGTTATTCAGTGCAGCTTTGCTGACAATTTTTAAGACCTGCAGGGGAAAACAAGACACACAAAAAAAAGAACAGTTCGGTATCCTTAAATACAAATACGTAGCTTATTTGTATTCTCCACACTAACATCTGAATGTACACAATGCACATGTATAAGTAAATATCACAATTTACTAAGCCAATTAAATCTAACATGTAAGGAAAGAGGTTCACAAAATGCAAAAATCCAAGACATCAGTGCAAAGATATTTGAGAGGAGAGAAAAAGAATAGAGGATAACAATTAGGCTCCCAAATAATCAATGATCCTTAAGAATACAGAAATAATATGTATTAGTGAAGGGCTTTAAACGTACAAAGTACTTTCCCATATAATATTTCATTTGATCCCCATAACAATCTGTGAGATTATTTTCATCTATTTTTTCTAATGAGAGAACAGAGGATCAGAAAAATAATTGGTCCAAGGTAACACAGTTAAAACATGGCAGATTTAGAATTTAATGAATATGATCCATTGATACTATTGTCAAAGGAAAAGAAAGAAAACCAATACAAAAATATGCATGACCAAAAAAAAATCTTAATTTCAATGGTACCATCAGTTTAAACCTCTTACACGTATAAGTACATAGGCAAGTATTCATCACAGAGAATTTTAGCAACCAATAGTTAGAAAGAGCTAGTATTCCCTGGTTTAAATCACACAAACTTGGCCATTCTGAAGCAGAGACACTGCAGTTCATGACATTTGTTTTGTGTAGATCACTGGAAGCCACTTTAGCAACAAAGAACCTCAAAAACGTTACCAAAATTTAAGGAAGCACCCCACTTGTGCCAGCTCCAGAGGAAAAAGAGTCACTGGTTTATGAAAACTCAGGCTATTAAAACAGGCCCAAGTTTAAAGTTCAGACATACAATAGTCTAAAAGAGAATATGAAGAATTCTGAGTTTTCAGAATTGAACTGGAAAAGGTACAGTATAGAAACCATTGAATCCAAGAAGCGTTTGTCCACATGGCGGATTCTCAAGATCTTAACATCAAAAATGGCCTGCATCGATGCTGAGCTTAAGAAGCTTCTATGTTTTCTCACTCTGTACATTTAAAATTCTTAATACATGCCTGATTTGAAAAGTCTGCTTCTCGAACATGAAGATATATATAGATTAAGAACGTGATGCAATTGTAGCTATGTGACTAGGAATACTAAGTAGTGGCATTGTCCCATCACCCAGGAAACCAGGGTTGAATTTCTAACACATAATTTGATGACATTATGCAGGAGTTGGCAGTGAAACTGACAGAGTGGATAAGAGAGTAGGGGGAGGGAGAAACTTTGCCTTTATAAGTCTTCTAGGGAGAGAACCCCACAGGCCTTTCAGGTGTTCAATTCAATATGCCAAGGAAAAGAATTTCCTCAGCATACACCAAGGAATGATTACAATTACTGAACTCCTCTAACACTGACCAAAGAGGAATAGGCAGAATTTTAGAGCTTTTTACTCAAAGGCTGCTTGAAACTTAACAAAAGTCAACAAATAACAGACATTTTATCTGTTATGTTCAGTCTTGAGTGCCTCTATAAGGCCGAACCTGAAAAAAAATGTTTATACTCCTAAGCAAAGAAAAAGCAAGATTAAAAGATGTAAGTTTTAAATGCAGGATATGGGATTAGATATCCCCAATCAGTATAATTCTGTAAAAATATGAGCATAGAAAATTATTAAAGAAGCTGTGTAAAATTAAAACAGTGAACACTATATAAGAGTTATTGGAGGTTTTTCTTTCTTTTTCATATTTTCCAAATTTTTGTGATATATTCTTTTCTGAGCCAAAAATATGATCCATTTTGCTCGGCAGGAAATGCACTTAAAAATAGGATAAAACAACACAACTGGAGTAGAAATCTCTAGGCTGCCTTCAGCGGGGAGAAACAAGGATCAAGTCTCCCCAGCAGAAATGAAGAGTAGGACCTTAGCTATAGCTTCTTAGACATGAACAAGGCATTCTAGGATCCAGATGAAGCTCAATGCAAACCCAGCCCTCACAAATTTTAGGTCTAGTCTGGCAGGGAAGACATATATATTAAATGTGCACTTGGTACAGAGTAGGTTCTCAAATATGTTTGTACAATGAGTGAATCAAAGAATATAATTAAATGTTAAAATGCTTAGGTTTCAGGGAAGACTTTGGGAAGGAAATGACGTTTCTTTTTAGCCTTAAATAATAAGTAGAATTTGTTTAGTGGAGATAATAGAAAAGTATATGGTGTGCAAAAATATGGGAAAGAATTTAATGTACTAAGGGTGTGACACATGCAGGAAGATGCCATGCTAAGGAAATTTATGGCAGGCAGAAAGACATGTTCCAGGGTAACATCAGTAGATTTGGGGCATGCAACAGTATTTTTGTGAGGTCTTAGCCATGAAAATAAACTTATGTTTTAAAACACTTTGAGTGTGAGAGATGACTGGATAAACTCATGTGCCTCCAACTGGGAGCATGTCCTGGCTAGGAAAAAGCAATATCTCAAGTTACAAGGAAGTTTTCCAAATGTTCTACATTTAAAATATATTACTTTGGGCTTCCCTGGTGGCGCAGTGGTTGAGAGTCTGCCTGCCTATGCAGAGGACACGGGTTCGTGCCCCGGTCCGGGAAGATCCCACATGCCGCTGAGCAGCTAGGCCCGTGAGCCATGGCCGCTGAGCCTGCGCGTCTGGAGACTGTGCTCCGCAACGGGAGAGGCTACAACAGTGAGAGACCCGTGTACCACCAAAAAAAATAAAAATAAAATATATTACTTTTACATTCAGAAATAAAACCCAGCACCCATTATATATTGGGTTGGCCAAAAAGTTCGTTCGGGTTTTCTTTAAGATGGTATGAAACCCCGAACGAACTTTTTGGCCAATCCGATAAAACCAAATAAAAGAGAGGAGAGATTGTTTTCTAGATAGTTTACGTTTGCCCCTCAAGATCCACTCCACACCTTCTCCATCCTGGCTGTGCCCTAGGAGGCTGGTCCTCACAGACTGAGTCCATCGGCTCTCTAGCCCTCTGGCTCCTGGGAAGTGCAGCTGGAAGACAGGAGGCAAGAAAGGTTCCTCCCTGCTGGCTAGAGTGTAATAGTGGCGAAAGCCCTCTACTCTAGATCACAGCTCCTGCAGTCACCCCTCTCAAAGAAGATAGGTTTCCCTGGGTTCCATTAACTATGTCTCCACTTGACCCTTCAGACACAAGGCTGGTAGCAACTTTCCACTGTTGCTAGCCTCATGGTGCTGCATCATGCCTTTGTGGTTATCCTCAACCCTGTCCACACCTTTTGTAAATAATACCTACATTAAATTCTCTTTCACTCTCTGTGGGAGTGCAATCCGTTTCCTGCTGGGACCCTGACTGATAACAGATTTGCTCCAAAAAGTTTACAAAGCCAGAGGGCAATTTTAAAATATCCTCCCTCAGTACCTCTTACAGTGACTGACACAAGCAGGGTCTCAATAAATAACTGTTAGAGAATGAATAAGTAAAATTTAGTTGGAGTTCTAGAATGGTTTTATGGCTTTTAGAAAAGAAGGTCAGCAGGCATTATCTCAAATTGCTTTTGTGAGGCAGAAATAGTTTTATGTCATCACTCGTGGGTGGCAATGGTGATTCTGTTTTGGAATTCAGAGAAATGTTATAACATGTTTAATATTACATTGTTATATTATTGTATTATACTGTTGTTATATAATAGTATACAATATAATTTAACATTATAATATATTGTGTTATAATATTATGAAATAGAAGAATAGAGATTATATATGCCATGTTATTGCTGATTGCTAGTGTCAGTTGCCTTTCGTTTAGGCTAACATGGATGGAAAAATTATCTTGTACCAGTTTATAATATACATATAAGAGTTCAATTATGTCTCATTAGAACAGCCAACCAAATAAGGTGGGCACAATTATCACAACAGGTGAGGGAATCAAGTCTCGGAACAGTAATAAAATACGCACAAAGTCACACACTCTGCTGGTTCAGACTAGAACTTTATTTCTAAGGCCAAGTCTCTTAACCAATCACTATGCAGCTGATTGGGTCTTATTCACATCTTTTCAAGGTAGAAGTGAACGAAGTGATTTTTATTTATTTTTCTGATACTGGAATACAAGTTAAGTTGATCGGTTTTCTGGAATCATGCTCCCTAATCATGTAAGGACAAAAAGCAGTAATTTTTAAAAGATACTGACGTTTTTAAGCACCTAAAATTTAAGGCAAATGTAAACAAGAGAAGAAGTCAGGCTCTCTTGATTTGGGATTATTCTTCCATTAGCAAAATTTGCTTCTCAATACATAGAATGCCATTTGGTTCATTAAAACAAAGTGTTTCTAAGAATTTCAAAGCTATGAGTAAGTTATGAGTATGCTGACTATAAATTCCATTTCTGGCATATATGAATAGTTTTCCTGTGGTTTTATCTTTCACCACTTAAACTTATATTAAGTTTAAACTTATATTAAACTTATAAGTTTTTAAACTTAATATAAGTTTAAGTTTTTAAACTTTTCTAAGTTTTTAAACTTATATTCATCTTTCACAACATTCTTTTATTTTCTAAGACTACAGTATTCTTCATATAATTATGTATTTCCCTCTTTCTCCACAGAGATATAAAAGCTAAAATGAGGAAAAAGACCCTGACTGACTGCTATAGCTATAGTGTAAATTTCTCCTTCGGCAGGTTTCAGTTATCAGTACTAGTAATCCCTGATTGACAGAAAGTTCAATGAATAATGATAATCATTCTAAAATCCTACATTATGGATATAAACCATGATGAAATGACCAAACCCTGAAGAGATGAAAAAAATAAGGGTAATACTTTGAGTTTTTAGGAAAGTTGTTTTTTCCAGTTTAAAGATTGCCCTTTATTCTGAGATGATGTTCAAAAAAGTTTCATTTTGTTTTTGGTATAAT